GTAAAAGGTATAACGTGCGAGGCCATTAGTAATATATGGACAAGTGGCACAATTTTGTCCACAGCGGAAGAAGCCTGGCGGAAAATGATTGTTGGAGATAACGGGTAATTGTGCTTTAACTAAAATGTCACGAAGATTAGGGCTGGGTCTGTGTTTTGCCAGCTTGTGTAGGTGCGGTGGGTGAGGGTGTAGGTGTGTTATTGTTATGGGGTGATGTTTGGTTAGTGAGGTGATTTTTGTGATGGTTCTATAGACAATGGAGAAACATCTGCCGCCTTACCGCCTGCAGACACCTTATCCTGCTGACCAAGGAATGCAGAAGGAAGGTCAAACATTTACAAAAGGAACTGACATTTTACAAGAACCGTTTAGCGGAACATTGTAATGCAGAAACTTTTTCGTTTTATTCTAATAGGATTGATTCCATGGCCTTATCTCTCGAATCGCTACTCGCCGACAGACGACGTGCTCTCAAAAATCACCTCACTAACCGAACATCATGCACTATCAATAACACACCTACACCCTCACCCACCGCACCTACACAAGCTGGCAAAACACGCAATCGCCGTAAACGCAAACCTCGTAAAACCCATAAAACCACTAATCTCGACACCACCTCTGTTATTAATTTGTCCCAAACCCCACTTTCTAATGACGAATTATTGGTCCTCGCTCGCGGCTTAACCTAAACGTATTAATTTGGCAGAATTATCCGCTGATATTAACGACTTCAAGCGACGCATGCGTTTGAAAGAATATTTTCATGATCACAATAACAGCACTCAACCTAACGAACGCAACCCATTTCATAACAAAAGCTCATGGACGCCTCCTACTGATCGAGACCCTGCACTTCACAAGTACGTAGACGCCATTAAACATGACATCCTTACAGTTAACCGTAATCACATCACTGACAACTTGACAAACCAGCTGACAAAGGCTCGGGAACGGTTGTTATGGACAAATCCTGGTACATAGACGAATGCAACCGACAGTTAAATGACGCTAAATTCTACAGACAACTAGACGGGGACATTACTGACACTATTCAACCGCGTGTTACGGTTTACATTGAACGTATGTTTAACGACAGTTACATTGACAAAAAGACTAAAAAGTACCTAGTACAAACAAACGTGAAACCAGGACGTTTTAACATACTACCTAAAATACATAAAACGGGAAATCCTGAACGCCCCATAGTTTCATCTAACAGCCACCCTACTGAACGCTTCTCACAATTCATGACTACCACATTAACGGCTCTCGTCTCTACCTAAGATTCACACATTAAAGACACTACTGAATTCCTTAATAAACTTTCTAACCTCGGTAACCTACCTAACAACGCTATTCTTGTAACTCTTGATGTGTCATCGCTTTACACCAACATTCCACACAATCAAGGAATTATGCATGCCGTCATTTTCTTAATACCCACCCTAACAAACGCATCCCCTCAGAGACACTATGTGATCTCTTACGCATGATTCTCGCCGTGAATAATTTCACATTTAACCAACGGCATTATCTTCAAATCCATGGTACTGCTATGGGCACTAAAATGGCTCCTTCTTTTGCTAAACTTTTTCTTGGTATGTTCGAAACCAACGCTCTCACTAACGCCCCTTGGCAGCCTCACACATGGTGGAGATATATCGATGATATTTTCATGCATGATCTGGACAGAAGGTTCGGATCGTTTGAAAATATTCGTCGATCATCTCAATACCATTCATCCCACTATTAAGTTCACTAGCTCTCACTCACTTACTAACGTTCCTTTTCTCGACGTCATGGTGTCTCTACATAACCGTATAATTGAAACTGATCTATTTACTAAACCAACGGATAAACATCAGCTCCTTCTCAGCTCATCATGCCATCCTCACCACACTAAGAAAGCCATTCCGTTCAGCTTAGCCCTCCGCCTCCGCCGTATCTGCTCTACAGAGGCTAAGTTTAAACATCGCATTAATGAACTTATAACATATCTCCTTGCTCGTCGTTATAATTGTAATTTCCTAGAAGAACAGTTCCTACGCGCTGCTAATATTTCTCGTACTAACGCGTTACAGACTAAACCTAAAGCTTCTAACGATGTTGTACCATTTGTTGTCACATATAACCCAGCACTTCCACGCATTTCTAATATCCTACGCAAACATTTTAACATCTTACACTCTTCTAACCTTTGCAAAGACGTCTTTAAGCAATCGCCTTTTTGTTACTTACAGACCCAGTGTAATCTTCGTGACGTTTTAGTTAAAGCACAATTACCCGTTATCTCCAACAATCATTTTCCACCAGGCTCCTTCCGCTGTGAACAAAATTGTGCCACTTGTCCATATATTACTAATGGCCTCGTACGTTATACCTTTTACGCTACAGGTGAAACACGCTCAATCACTTCACACATTACTTGTAACACTAAAAACGTGATCTACAATAACATGGTTCAATGTAACCGTTGTAATTTACAATATTTAGGTGAAACTAAGCGACGTCTCAAGGACAGATTTAACGAACACAGACGTGCAGTCGACAAAACTAACATTAAATCTAAACCCACTACTGTTTCTGAACACTTTCTCTCTCACTCTAACCATTCTCATACTGATATGCAGTTAATCCCACTAGAGAAAATTCATTCTTCACGTGACTCAGTTTGTAAGGCCAGGGAGTCGCATTTGATAGATAAGGCCATGACCCTTGAACCTCATGGCCTAAACCGCCGTGACGAATTATTGTAATCCATCTCTTAAGTGTTTTTCCTTTCCAGTTTTTGGGTTGTATGTCATTTCCGCCAAACAATTTTTATTGCGACATTCTCCATCTATATAATATTGTGATTGCTACATCAGTTCAGTCTGTAAACCTGAAGAAGGCTGGTATGGCCAGCCGAAATATTGTTATAAAAAACAATACACCTTGTTTTAAATCAGCTTTGCAGTAGTCTTTGGACTTCTCGTTCTTGGTTCAAAATAATACTACTTTGGTTCTGGAAAATGCTTTGTTTTATTTCAAGCAAAACGCTCAAACTCAGGCATCATGTGTGCTTATTATCAACATGAATAAAGTGAAAAGTGCTTAATTGTTTGTTTATAAAACTTCTGATACAGCCAAAACTTGCCCAGTGATAATAAATGTTCGAAGTCCTTTGCGCCTGTTGTATTGTGACATGATGCTCGCTCATGTAACGGGACTTTCGTTGTTTCGCTGTTTCTTCTCCGCTTGTACTTTCCACTGGTTGATTCTAAAGATCGATATCGAACTATCCATGGTTGAAGGGACTGGTCTATATTCTCCGTCAGAATTTCCTTCGATGAGCTGCAAGTTTCAAGAAGATGGCGTGGCACTGGCCGATGCCATCTTGTTTGAGCAAGGGCGTGAGCATCGTAGACAGATCACAAGTTCGGAGATGCCATCAATTAACGCGTCGTAGCGTGACCAAATTAAATTTAGACACGCGATGTCGAAAGTCACACCATGCTAACATCACGGGATACTCGAGCCATGTGAATAACCCCGGTATACCACTGACATGAAATTCCAGGCTGGTGGGCGTTAATGGGGGAACTGTAATTCGTGAATAATTCGATGGGTTCCTGTGGTGATATAGGTGCGTAACTTTGAAATGATACGCCATCAGGATTTCTTTTGTCACCTTATTAATGCTAGTAATTTTCTAATGAAAGGACGGCTATTCCTTGTCCTCGAAATTTCGTCCGGACTCATCCGGGTAGCTAACAGTTTCGGGTGAGACGAAAATGGCATGTGCAACTTTAGAGACGGCCAAAGTAGTTTTTCAATCAATCAATCACGTTACTCGAGGAGCTAAAAAACTCGTTCAAAATACGAACGTGTTTAAATAAAATCTATAATAATTACAGCTATAATTAACAATTATTCCACGTGTGCGCATTGGATATGAGTTGGCTATAGTCAGTATATATAACCATCTCATATCAAACAAGCGCGAGTGGAATAATAGTTTTATTAAAAACACCCACAAAATATCGAGAATTCTTCCCGACCTTATTTGCAAAAACTACAAATTTTCAGCTTGTTTTAAATTTTGAGCAGACGCGTACAGCTACCATATTTGGAGAGCATGGTATAATCTACAGTTAATGTCAGATCCCGAGGGAAACAGTTAGTTTTATTTTCCCGAAAGTCCTGATGTTTCTCCAGACGAAATCGAGGGAAACATCAGGACTCGAGGGAAAACAAAACTGACTGGATTCCCGAGGGACCTGACATTAAGTGTGTTGTTATATTTCTAGACTTTCACTTCAACAGCAACAAAAGAATAACCGGAGCGAACCTAAACAGTCGACTCGGTACTTATAACAACACAAACTTAATTCTCAAAACCACTGAATGAATGATTTACAAAGTACCTTCCTTATATTATCTGTATCATTTTCCTCCACCAGCTGCTGTTTTTCTTCTGGGAGCTTCTTGGATAACTTTAAAATCGTTGCTTTTTAGCTTGAGGCTTCGTGTTTGTGTTGTTGTGTTCATTCACAAAAAAGAAAACTGGCAGGACCTGGCAGTGTTTTTCCCGCCTTTTGTCACACCACTTTCCACCATGCTTTGATTACGTGCTGTAATGTAGCCCGAGCGGGGTACATTGTTTAATGTATCACGATCGGGATACATTTGATTTTAGTCAAGGCCACATGACCCAGAATCAACCGATGGCAGTCCCTGTTTAGTTGAGTGAAAGTTTAGGAATATAACAATTACATTTAGGAAAATCCAACAAGTGGTCTATTATCAATGGTGCGTTCTGATTGGTTGAGCTACTACTAGGCCACTAGTAGCGAAAAGCGCCGGCTTTGAAAACCAAAACAGTGGCGGCTGAATCGCGTTTTGCTGGCTAAAGTTGTTTTGTCTCGATATTTTTGACCAACTAGTTGGATTTTACTAAAACAATTATTCCTCTCGCCCTCATGGCCTCTGAGTCAATAGCCCATGAGGCCGAAGCCTTACCTGAGTTTTGAGCCAGTCAAGTAATTATTGCCAATAGCAATGTCTGATGCCGTTCCTCCACTGCCGACAGTAATTACTACGATAACATCACAATCTTCCAACACATTCTGAAAAAATATGAAAAACATCCAAAGTTAAAACTACTAAGATGTAATATATTACGACTACTTAACAAAATAATCTAAAATATACATATGGACCTGGATTGATCATCCCTTAATTAATTTTATACTCCCTTAAAAGAGCAGTGTGCACTTACTAAGTAGATCCCTATGTTACTGGCCTCACCAGCACCTTAATAATTTGGGTGTCTGTTAAATACAAGTACCTTTTACAGAAAAGATGAGAAGTAGCATGTTTGCTTAATACACTGGTGTACAGTAAATCCTTCTGCTATGAGATGGTGATTTTATTTTTCACTTCAAAGCTCCATTTGCATTGTGATTAATCCTTAAAATTTGCTCTTAAATTCCTCTCAAGTCACTACTAAATTTCATAACCGAATGCGATACAAGGCAACAAGGTTGACCAGGGGAACTTTGACATGGTTACCACAGCCAGAGGTTGCTGAAATTCCCTGACTGGTCCTGACTTTTCCCTGACTATTTCCTGACAAATGTAAAATTTCTCTGACCAACTGAATTACCAATTGCACAAATTAGTCCTGATAATAAACTCAATGCTCGATCCCCTCACAGAGTCTTAAAATTTCACTTTTTCTTGACTTCTTTCAATGACTTAAATTCTCCCTGACTTGACTTTTTCCTGACTTTGAAGAATTTTTTTCCCTGACCATTTTCTGCCTGTGGCAACCATGTTTCACATCTAAGATGTTTCCTGGAAAAAAATTTTGTCAAGAGAATTCTGATCAGTACGTGCTACAATGTACATGTACGTTTTTTTACCTTTGGGTTTTGTTTGCTTGAAAAATAAAGGGAGGAATTGAAAACAATATTGAGATGAAAATTCACTTAATGGACCTTATCAGAAATCATTTTTTGAATAGTTTATACATGTCATGTATTGTAGGCAAAATTAAATGCAGTTTTTTTAAAACCTACTTTACTCAGTTTTCTTTGCCTCCTATTAAGCCCAGTTCATGAATAATTACATGCAAGGTTAAGAGACAAAGGAAATAAAGCTACCCAGGTTAAAAAATTTATTGACCGGAATTTTCTTTTCACACACGAAATGCATGTCTCATATAATCCATTCCATACAAATAGCTCGTACCTGTTCTATCATCTCTTGAAATGCAGTCAATTAAGTAACCAAACATCCCTGTGTAAGATGAACCACCTATCTCTATCAAATATGCTGAGGATCCCTGTTGCTTTCTGATAAATTAAATGAGACGAACAATTAATACAGTACTGCAACTGCTATATATATGGTTTGGCCTTTTTAAGGAGATTTTGAGTTGGCCAGCAATATTCTGGAATCAGTTACAATAATGTAATTATTATAGACAGGTGTCAATAGTATGAAAAAGTATTCACGGGCTCCATTGTACTTAATATAGACGCAAAAAGGGAAATTTGAAATCAAATTTCTCTTGGGGAGGGGAGACAAAAAACCTTAAATTTACAATTTGTGGGGGGCCAATAAGAGTGTAGCTGGGTTTTCTGATCTTTTGCCAGAAGTGCCTTATCTCACCATACAATGTCATATCACTAAGAATGTTCCACCTATTAAAAAAGGGTTTTTGTTGTCTTTTTCAGTCATTACAGCCACTTTCAATTGTTCTACCATTTTGTCCAATCATCTGTTTAAGGACTGATTTATATTGAAGTTTTGCAACAACAATAACACGGATTCCAGTCATTTTGTTTAGAAAAAGATTTTCTTTACATCCAATATCCGTAGACTACATCAACATGAAAAGAATCAACAAAATGTTCTACGGTAAGAGGGTGCTTAGTTTAAAACTTAACAGAAATTGAAATTCAATTAACTCTCTCTAGCATAAACATAGTGGCCGAATCAGGACCAACTTTCGGGACTTGTAGGGAGCTTAGTTGCAGAAAATGACTGAAAACAGCAAGGGAGGGAAGCAACCAACAGTGGCCTGGGTAAAGTGTCCCTCTTATGTAGGTTTCAAAAAGTGTGCTCCAGTTGATGACTGTGTTAGAATATTTGATCCTGGCAACACACATAACAAAAAATGAATTCAACCCACACAAGGCACAATATTTGGTGCAGTAGATTGCTGTTGTGTTGCAGTAGTTCTGAGGTGACTGCTGTGTAAAGGAATGAGGAATTATAAATCTTTTAAATGTGGCTAAATGTAATTTAGGCTAAGTTAAACGCGAAACAATGCTGGCCCACGGCAGGGGCTCACGTGTTTACAGCTCAGATTTAGATGTCATATTACGTGTTTGTTTCTCGCTGCTGGGCAGTTTTCACTGATTTTACCCCTACCCTGCCCATCCCTCTTGGCATGGTAAATATGTGGTAAGTATTTTACTCTCCACTGCTTTTCAGTGTGACACTGCCTGGCAGTTGCTGCTTGCAGGGTTGTCATGGCTACACCCTGCGTGTTTGCCTCTACTTGTCTCGGGCCTCCACCTTCTTCAAGCACCATTCTAGCTCATTCTCCATGCTCATCTATTGTTGATGGGTTTAATGAAATAATCAATGTCTGATTTGATGGCAAAATAGCAAGAGAGTGAGAGCATGCACCTTCCAACAAAGTGAATTAGGTATCCCAGGATTGAATACTGTGGAAGTGAATCCATACATTGCAATGAATTTGTTATTGGTTCTCAGCCCTTTGCTTATATAACCATAAATTCATGATCATAAATAATAATTATCAAAATTGAGAATCAAGTATAAAAAACTCCATTGACAGTAGAATCAATGAAATGAAGTACTGTACCTCAGAATGTCATAAAATTATTTAAATGACACCATCAGTCCCCATGGTTATTATAAATAAAGTGTAAATTGACAACAATTAATTAGCATAAGGCACGAATTTGGTAGAATAACTCTGCAAAATGTTATTTTCACCTCTCCTTGCTTCTTCTCACAAAACTTTAAACTTCAATGTCTTTTTAATAATAATTATTATTAACCCTTTAGGTCCATGAGTGACCAACAAAATTTTTCCCTGATAATAATCAATACATAAATTGAAAGAAAAGGTGATAAGAATTCATAAAGTGATCATCTAAAGGAAAATGCTTTGATCTTCTATCAAATTCTCTCTCTACTAATTTTTTAAGGAATTGAATGGATATCAGTATGGAAAATTTACATGGCAATATTAATGGGCTGAAAGGGTTAAGTTTTAACATGAGCTTTGATAGAATTGATCGAGTGCTTTTTATTAATGTGTGCAATATATGTTGATCTTTACCTTATTTCCTGACAAATTGCTGCCAGTTAAGTAATCCCTTTTGATGCTCAAAGCAAATCCCTCAGGAGGATTTGAAATATTCCATGGATGGATTGGTGTGTTTCGCTGTGCAAGGTTTATTAGGACAGAGAATAATTTATTCCTGTGCTTAGAAAATGGTTTCAGTCAAACATAAGAATAAATAAATAAATAAAATAAAAATAGTATACCTGCCAACTCTCACGCCTTAGGCGTGTGTCTCACGCCTGCGGGTTGAAAACTTCGATCTCACGCCCGCTCACGCCTGCCGGCCAATTTCTCACGCCTGATTGAAAAATGTGAGTTGTTGCCGTCTTGCTTGACACAATTTCCAAAAATATGTTAACTCAGACCCATGTAAGGAAAGAAAACCACGTGTAAAATGAATAAATGACAATACCTTCCTCGCGATCTCTGACTTTGTGGATAAGCGTTTTCTCGATAACTTCGCCTTCGGCAGACTTCGGGCGTCTTCGGAAGACTTCGGACTTCTTCGGAAAACTTCGGACTTCTTCGGGAATCTTCGGAAATGATCTTGTCGTCTTCAAAAATCCCAGCACTCCCAGGATAAAAATCTCACGCTTATATCTCAGAAAATGTTGGCAGGTATAAAATAGTCAACTTTCTCAAGACAGACCCTGTTGGGACAGCTGCACCATCATCTTCTGCAGACTTCAGGAGCAAATGAGAAGAAATAATTATTCGAGATGCATTCTTGTTGTCTTTGCAAGACAAATTTTTTGGTCGCTAGTTTGCTGTATCCGTGAGGCAAGAAGGACTGGGGAGAGAGAATAAAAAGAGAACAATAGAGAATGTTTCCTTTCCCACTCCTTGCAATGTCTTCTCTTAAATGATTCATTTCTCATTTCTTGACAAATATGAAAAGACATTGACAAGATCTCAAGAAATAGGTTTGAGTCAATCAAAACCAAGATCATGGGCTGGTGGAATGCCAATCAGACAAAAGTCCAGATTCTGGACTACAGGCAGATATCTCCTATCACCTTACTCGACCAACTCATCGTAAGCTATTCAACAATTATTCCTCGAGCCCGAATGGGCTCTGAGTCATTGACTCAGAGGCCATGAGGGCGAGAGGAATAATTGTTTTAGTAAAATCCAACTAGAGGGTCAAAAATATCGAGACAAAACAACTTTAGCTATTAGTGGGCTATAACATATAGCCTAGTAGTAGCTCAACCAATCAGAATGCAGCATTGGTTATAGACCACTAGTTGCGTTTTACTTATATTTTATATTATATAAATTATAAAATTAGTAATAAAAAAAGAGAGGCCGAGAGACGAAAAACATTGGTCTTTTTTTTGCCTTACAGCTTTACCAATCTTTAAAAGGCGGTATTTTAAGTACATCAAAAAGAAATTTTTACTGCCACTGGAGTGAACAACTCCCTTGAAAAACTGCACTTTATGACGTGAGGCTTCATCTGAAGACTCTGAACCAGGGCGGATAAGGGCGGATAAAGGTTGGGCGGTGAAACGAGCGCTCCGCTCTTCATTTAATGTGTGATGCGGAGTAGGACTGGCACGAGCGCTCTTTCTGCGCTTCCGGTGCGCTTGAAGGCCGGCGAAATTTTCCTTTAAGCAAACCGGAAATCCTATTTTCTTTCTGTAATTTCAGGCTACAATGTTAAATAGATAAATTCGTTTCATAACAGTATCAATAAACAATTTCATATGTTTGTGTCTGTACGTCTATAAGTCAAGCTTGTCGGTCGTATAATGCCAAAATTTGAGTTTAGTTTGAAAGTGTTGAATTCCTCCTCCTTCCACTAAATATCACCTAATCGTCTTTCGCCGTTTCGTTTGCAAAAGCTTAACACTTCTTGACCTCAATTTTTACATATGCTAAAGGGGGATAAATTTTATATAACATAACAAAAAATTAGATTGATATATATTGATATAGTGGCGTTGTACTTCTTCAAACTTTGCTTCTCGGGTGCAACGCGCCATGGCGATTCGCGCAATGCGTTACAAATCTGGTAACCGCATGTAAACAAAATTTATTGAGGTTAGTTGTAAGGTTTTTTCTCCGTTTTTCTCTCTAAAACAAAACAAGGTAAACAGTAAAAACTGAGGGGAAACTAATTTTGAAGTTTCGAAGAAACAGAAAGACGAGTGAGCTGTTTTTTTTCCAAATAAAAAAGAAGGATGATGGTGATTGAAATTAGCATAATTTCACCTTGCACGACTGCACGCATTTATAAAATACACGTCATCTAGTTATGAAACACGATCTGCTGTCTTTTAGTTTTGCCATGGATGACATGGATGAGATTTTCCTTCGTGTTTTAGACAGTACTTAGTTGTTTTTGTTTTGGAATAACATCGACATTGGCGAGTAGCAGAACGAAAATATAATTCAGTGGTAGAGTCATGGAAGTAATCAAAGAAACCCTTTGAAAGAGATGTTTGTCTACTCCAGCTAAACCTCCCGCAAAAAATAGCAACATTTGCCTCTCGGAGACAGCGTACCAGCACAAAGGAACGAGGAAGAAGTGCAAGAAAACAAGTCAAGCCGCCATAATTCAGTGACAGCGGCAGTGTACATGTCTAATGTACAACCCACATCGCAAGCCCCGGCCAAAGTCGAAAACAAGCGACATTTCTAAGCAGAGTCCCAGTCCACTGCATCACACCTTTTTGCTCGGACGCGCTCGTTTCACCGCCCAACCTTTATCCGCCCTGCTCTGAACCAACTGCCCCCCAACCGGGAGACAAGAGAGGGAGGTCACAAATGCGCAAATGTCCAGGGGTTCTCATGGGCAACGACCTGGAAGTAGCATTTTAAGTAAATCAAAAGGGAATGTTTACTACCATTGGAACTGAACAAGTCCCTTGAAAAACTGCACGTTATGACTAGAGGCTTCATCTAAGAACTCTGAACCAACTGTAGCCCCCTATTTTACCGTCACACGAACCAAATACCCCGCCCCTAAAAACTTCACATTAACAATCATTATTATCACTACACTCGGCCAAATGACAAACTGCCCTCTCCGAAAACGCTCCTTTTCGCGGGCCAAACGGCAAAGTGCGGGCTGTAAATGGAATTTGCAGGACGCAACATGATTTCATGTTAAACATTCTTCCCTTATGAAAAAAATTTGTACGATTTGGCCCTGTGTATTGATAATAATGATAATCACATGACTTTTGTCGGGCATATAGTTTATTTGTGTCCCTCGTAGCATCATTTGCACCTTCGCTCCGCTAGGGCGCAAATGATGCTACTCCAAAAGTCATGTAATTGTCGTATTCTAGAAACCAGTACTTACGCTCCTGACTCTGCGCACACTCCTGCCGTCATGCACAGAAGAGCTCTGGGGTCGAGATTGATTAACAATTAAGCTGAATAACGCACGCATAAGCAATGAGGGAACTTGCGAATAACGCGGCATACAGATAGACCGAGACAAAAGGGGGCGCGGATGTACCGGTATCTTGATTTTCAGATGTCGCGTCCGAGGTTGATTGCGGCTCCTTGGCTTCTCTCCCGCTCTCTCTCATTTTCCTTTGCAAACATGTTGAAGTCCTCGTTCGAAGACTGTGATTCACTGCCTAAAATCTTGCAAAGAGTTCCTCGAAAATGCTAGTGCGAGCGCCCATAAACCGCTATCCTATTGCTTGTTACGAGAAATTCAGCGCACATAAAGCACTGAATCGAGTTCGTCTAGGATAAGACGACACTACACAACAGCAACAGACGAAATGTAAAGTCAAATAAGTTTATTTGGGGACGGCTTGGCAAGAACCAACCCTGCAAAGTACGTATGTAAATACAGCAATAGGTAAATAACTGAATGTAAAACACTCGTAAACTAGCTTTATCAAAAAGAAGGAACTGCTACAACTGGTCAATCTTGACGTGAATCCCCAAATTAAACACCCGGGCTTAGTGCAAGTTAGGTCGCTAGTTAGGCTGGAGAAACTAAATAAAACTCTGATCAACGGGTAACTGGGACAGGGAACACTGTAGGAGCACAGAGGCTAAGAGCCGGAAAAACTGGGAATTATCTGCACTATAATGTACCCAACAAGGCACGTAGGCCAATTGCCAGTAACGCTGCCAGAAAAGGCTAGGGCAGGACATCTAGCAGGGTAAACAAATGGCTAACGACCCTGGCTAGAGGTCTGTAACATTAATTACCTGCAATCTAACTGCGTCGAACTATACTA